AAAGAAAGAAAGAAAGAAAGAAAGAAAGAAAGAAAGAGAAAGGATGAAAAGAAGTGAAAAGGGAAATGGAGTGATAGGCATTTAGAAGAAAGAAAGAAAGAAAGAAAGAAAGAAAGAAAGAAAGAAAGAGAGAAAGAAAGAAGAGAAAAGAGGGAAATGGAGTGATAAGTATTTAGAAGAAAGAAAGAAAGAAAGAAAGAAAAAAGAAAGAAAAGTACAATTTCCAGTTTTATATGAATGAATATATGGGGAAAGAGAGAAATACTTGGAAAAACATTAAAAATAGAGAGAAAGAATGATAGAAAAAAACCTGTAAGAAAAAATCTGAGAATAGACAGGGAAGAAGATAGAACCCATGAAAAAGATGGTTGGAATGAGAAGAGACATAAGCCAGTGGTTCCCAAACTTTTTTCCCTGGGCCGCATTTTCGGAATGAAGATTTGCTCGAGCCTCACCAAATGGAAGACTCACCGAAAAGGCGCAAGCAACCCTACAGCAAATGAGAGAGTTAGAGAGAAGTTAGAATGAGAGAGAGAGGGAGAGAGAGAGGGGGGAGAGGGAGAGAGAGTTAGAGAGAAAGAGTTAATGAGAGAGTTAACCACGGATTCGAAGTCAGAACATTATTATTGATAACTCTCTCCTCCAATTTGCAGACCATAGTTACTATATTCTTAATACTTGATATAATGCAAAAATATGACAGTGATAAAATCGGTCAATAATTTTTTTTTATAACTAATTATACTGGGACTCATGCATGCAATTACAATTAATCCATAATAATATTTTAAATTTTGAATTCATATTTATTTTGGATATATGAATTTTTTGAAACTGTTTCTAAATCTTTGATTGTCTTTTAATCATTCCGCCTCACCTGCTATCCTCTTCCGACGCACATATGACGCGCGCTGCACCGTTTGGAAATCACTGAACTAAGCTAAGATGATAAAAGTAAATTTACCACTTTATATTAATATCTTTCCTTTGTATTTTTATCGTAAATAATTAGCATTTAGCGAACAAAAGCTAGTTTTTGACAATAGCGGATTCATTTACATGTGCACCCAGATTATTTTCTTTATTCTTTTTAATTATTATTCTCCACCACAGTTTACTAGTTATGGAGAAATTTAAGAGCCTAGTTCTGGTCGCGGTATCTATTTGGCCAGTTAGTTTTCTTTCTAAAATTCTGTCTTGACAGTCTCCAGTTACCACTGGACCGTGCGACAGCCGTGTCTTACAAAAGCCCGCCCATACACCAAAATCTTATCGTCTGACCAGCCTTATCACGACAAGATATCTGTCGGCGAAGAAGACGGGACAGGCGCCTTCTTTTTAATTTTTACGACGTCCCCTTGTCAATGTTGGTCCATTATAAACACAGGATGAAGTATGACAGTAAAGTAGAAATTTGGTTTTAAAATTATCTTTTAATATTATTTTCCCTACCTTTTCTAACACCAATAAGTCAACTCAAGTTATACAAAGGTCTTCGACAGAAGCAGTGTGAATTATTTCTTTCATCTTATTTATCTTGCTTTTTATTGTAGGCTTATTCTTTATTTCTCATCTTCCCTGCTTAAATATGCTTTATTACTAGTAGTATTAATAGGATTCAAATTTTTTAGATGAAACATTAATTCTCGTTAATGTTTAATAACATTTTTCGTTTCATCTATCTTGCTATTTTTTGCAATACTCAAGAAGCCATAGTAGTATTAATAGGATTCAAATTTTCTTAGACGAAGCATTGTCAATTATTATTCATTTTGGACTAGTATTTCTTTCAACTTATTTCTCTTGCTTTTGATTAGAGGCTTATTCTTTATTTCTCATCTGCCCTGCTTACTTAAATATGCTTTATTACTAGTAGTATTAATAGGATTCAAATTTCTTAGATGAAACATTGTCAATTATTATTCATTTTGGACTAGTATTTCTTTCATCTTATTTCTCTTGCTTTTTATTGGAGGTTTATTTTCTTTTATTTCAGTTCTGTCTTGTATACTTAAATATAGTTTATATTAGCGGTATTTTAAATGAACACAACTTGATTGCTAAAATCATTAGTTAATCTGAACTTAATAAGAATTAATCCTTAATAAGAGTTAAATAACTATTCCACTATTCGGATTTAAATAATTAACTATATTCACTAACGAAGTGTTCATACTCTATTTATTTTGGAAAATGGTCTCATTTAAAAATGATTCTACATACTTTATTAATTTTTGCTAAAATTAGTAATGTATATCATAAACTGAGACGTTATTTATTCTCTAAAATAATTTTTTCTTACTCTACTCTGAGATGAAATAAAATTTTATTCTATAAACTGAAACAGAAATTATGAACTATTGATTCGATTGACGTTTTTATATAATCAATTACAAGCCACCAGAATTATATACGATGCCTTATTGTAACAAAATCAAATTTTTATATGGAAAAAATTTATAAATAAGAAATTTAAAAGGTTTTTACTCCTGTAAAACATTGTATGTATGTATGTATGTATGTATGTATGTATGTATGTATGTATGTATCTATCTATCTATCTATCTATCTATCTATCTATCTATCTATCTATCTGTGCTACTGGTAATATATAAAAGTTATCAGCGACAAAACTGGTGCTCAAACCAGACATTTGTGACGAGGCCAGTGGCTAGACACCCAACAGGATTAATAAAGAAAAATATAAAAGGGGCGGAAACATGCTATCATAGGATTAACAGTCATCTAATACAGGCGAAGGGGTGTAGAAATACCTGGGTTGGTGTACATACTTAGATAGGAAGAGACTGAGATGGACAGATAGGAAGAGACTGAGATAGATAGATGGATAGATAGATAGGAAGAGACTGAGATAGATTTGAAGAGAATGAAATAGCCAAGAACAGACTGAGATGGATAGATAGATGGATAGATAGGAACAGATGGGGATAGATAGATAGATAGATAGATAGATAGATAGATAGATAGATAGCCAAAAACATACTTGTAATGCTTGCTTTAAGAAAGCTTTATTTAACTGAGAATACAAGGTTCGCGTATAGTGTCCTTTTATAGTCCCAGTAAACAGAAATATATGTCTCAAAGAGGAGATTAACAAAACAAGGGGACACCACTCTTGATTATTCATAATAGTTACGAAATGTGGATAACTCTCTGATTTTTGGTTATGTTTCATTCTGAGGGTTGGAGTTGTTGTGAGGCAAGCTAAATAAATTTTGATTTATAATTTTTATTTTCAAAAGAGAGGCAAAAACTTTAATGAAAAAAACAAACTTTGAATTAAAATTTATAATTTCTTGAGGTGAATTAATATTTGCGATAAGTAACTTAATATTATTTGGGGTGAATTAACAGAAAAGATCCCGAGTTTAGACTGAACTTTGAGGCAAAGTGCTTTCTAAAGTCCACTATCTACGTAGTACGAACGGGAATTGGGAAAAGCCAAAGCGCAGCGTGCGTACGTGCCTTGCAAACAAAGTTGATTCACCGGATGCCTTGCGCACAACCGGAACAACGAATCACGTCAAAGTTATAAGATGGCGTCTCTTTTCTTACTGTTTTTTCTTTCTTCTTTTACCAAAGCGTTTTTTCTTTTTTTTCCCCCTTTTTTTTAGGTGATTAAATTCAAGGTAAAATTGAAAGCCTAGAGAAGTGCCTAGATATTTTTATTTTTGATTTCTTTTATCGCTTCTAATGTCTAGACATTAATCGGTCTTGAGAAAGATCAAGATAAGATATATTTCTGAACATTCAGTTACGCCCAGAAGCTATTAATTTTATATACATTGTGTATTCGCCATTTTCTCCCTGGCTTGTTAAATTTGCAATAGAAAATACAACGAATAACTTCCCTAATCAGAATCCTGTATTTGCTTCTAATGACGATTTGGTGGACTTAATAGTTTGATCAACGAATGGTGGAGTAATGTATAGCAGCCCGGATTGTGGTAATCGGAGAGCCGAGATCTAATTCTAGTTGGGTTCAATACATCCACTTATTAAGGTATGAATCACCCCTTTAGACAGTTCTATAACCTTTGGTGGCAGCCGATCTAAGAGAAGGGCAATTCTGAATTCAAAGCCTGAGGGCTTAGTGTATGGACCGAGGGCGATCCACACTATAATTCCGTGGTTTTCAGTCAAGAGCTTGGAGATGGGCGCCAAGCTATCTGAAAGCCCCCCTGAAAGGATCACGAGGAAGAAGAATCAGAGTCCGTTTCTTCTGCCACCCCCCCCTCAGGTACCCCTGACGATTGTAGCAGTCGAGTGTCTGATAATGATGAGTATGACACGAGCCTACGGTTCATAGCGCTTGCTAAAGAATTAAAGTACCCAGTTTGCTAAAGAAGTAAAGTACCCAGTTTGCTAAAGAATTAAAGTGCCCAGTTTGCTAAAGAATTAAAGTACCCAGTTTGCTAAAGAAGTAAAGTACCCAGTTTGCTAAAGAAGTAAAGTACCCAGTTTGCTAAAGAATTAAAGTGCCCAGTTTGCTAAAGAATTAAAGTGCCCAGTTTGCTAAAGAAGTAAAGTACCTAGTTTGCTAAAGAATTAAAGTACCCAGTTTACTGCGTTTGATGATCACTGACATCGGTACAAATGTAACAGTGTATAAAATTAAGCTAATCTTTAGAACTGCGAGAACAATAGTAATGGTTAACAAGCACGTCTAGTCGACCAGAATGTGACGTAATGGTTAAAGGAACAAGAATTCGGCCAATTTCAGTCGAATTCGTTACTTTCACTTTTGCGCAACTACCTTTAGGAAAGGCATGAAACCATAACCTCTCCTTCCAGCTCCAGATTAAACAGCAAGTCGGACTGAACTCTTTAACCCTGGCGGGCTTTCAGCCACATCACGTTGAAACAACGGTTCCTGTACGACCACCGAAGTTAAGCAACGTCGAACTTGGCCAGTACCTACATTGGTGACCGCTTAGGAATACCAAATGCTTTAAGTTTAGATTTGCAGCTGTTACGGCTTACGGCCACATCCCGATGAAACAGCGGTTCCCGTACGATACACCGAAGTTAAGCAACATCGAGCCTGGTCAGTACCTAGATAGGTGACCATTTTGGAATACCAGGTTCCATAATCTTGGATGTATCTGCAGAACTACATTTCTGTTGCTTCAAGTCTCTACTTCACTTTAAGAAGATTGTCCAGCATTCGCTGTCATATAGGGCAGATAGCATATCGCAGTTTAGTACCCTTTTCCTTATTTTTAGCGAAGGTTTTCTATTTCTTAATACTCTGCTTAGCTTTTGGAATGCATCTTTGGCGATTTGAATGCGCCTTCGGATTTCATTGTCACACTTTCCGTCCTCTGTTAAAACATTCCCGAGATACTCAAATGTTTGTACTTGTTCGATTTTGGCATCTCCGATTTGTAATTCGCATTTTGGGTTGTCCCTTTTGCTAACAACCATGCATTCTTTCTTATTGCAATTGATGTATGATCCTTTCTTCTCGCTTTCCGTCATTACCTTCTTTTGGAGAATTTGGAGTTTTCTTTCCGTGTCTACTATCAACACAGTGTTATTTGCATATCTTATGTTGTTAAGACTGTGGTCACCAATAATGAATCCTGATAGGACTTCCAATTATTTCAGAATCGCCTCGCTATATAGGTTGTATAAGTCTGGCGAGAAGACCCATCCTTGTCTTTCATCCCTTTCTATTTTTCTATATCTGTTGAACCCATTTTCTATCTGCATGCAAGTGGTTTGTCGCCAGTATAGGTTCTTAATTACTCTGATATCATTCCCATCTTTGAGGAGATTGTCCAGCATTCAATGCCATATAGGAGGACAGATATCGCATAACAGTTCAGTACTCTTTTTTGTTTCTAACTGTTTAAGTGGTGAGAGAGCATATTTCTGAGGTCAGTAGGTTAGGATAGACAGTTCGCCTCACTTTTTGGTGCTCCAAAAAGCTGATCCTAGTAAACAACGACAAAATCAAGTTTACTACGGACACGATCTCAAATTGTCTCGTCTTACATAAACCGTAGCCTAATAATGAAAAATAGTCTATTTTACAAAACAAATATATATATATCCACATAGCCTCTTTCTATGATAAAGTATTTGATTTAGCAGTTGGTATTAATTAAATCGTCTAAACAAATATATATGGAATATTTCACGTATCGAATGAATATACGCTATATATATATATATATATATATATATATATATATATATATATATATATATATATATATATGAAGAAATATAGTCTTAAGATGTGCTATATTTATGGGATAAAGTGCTCAATTTCAGAGATAGACCGTGTGTGAATATAAAAGTGATATATATAACAAATATGAAAAATAAATCAATAAATCTATAAGATAAGAAATAAAAATAAAAAAATAAAAATAAATAAAAACAAGCAAAATAATTTAACACAAATAAATAAATAAACAAATAAACGACTTCCGGTAAAATAACCGCCAAAATAGACTATCCACAATGCACCACTGACCCGTATATATATAAATAGCCGAGAAAAGTAGCAGCACTTGTGGCCTGAGGATTGCATCAAACATGTCGCCTCTATGTTCACTTATATATATATATATATATATATATATATATATATATATATATATATATATATATATATATATATATATATATATATAATATATGAAATATGCAGTTGAATTAATATTAGAATGAATCATTCATACAAAAAGTAAATTAATGATATAAAATGGCGAAATCCCTTCGCTAACAAAATTTTAAAGATGCATTTACCTACTAATCACTCGATGAATGTTATGATCCTTGTTTTTAAAATTGTAAACTGTATTAGGTCATTCTTAAATACGCAAGTACTTTCCACTGTACATTCAGTCATCTTCAGGCATGGAAATTATATAGTTTTTCGTAAAATTCAGGTAGCATCCGAAACGAAAGGTATAATCCGAATTGAAATATTTTTTTTTTTTAAATATGTTTTTGATAACGAATACAAACTTTTGGAGCGTGCAATCGTAACACTAAAGTTGAATTTTTTTTTTGGAAAATTTAAGAGAGTGCGTTTTTTTACTAATATAGCAATTTGAAAATTTTTTGTTCAATAAATAGAGTAAAGTCTCAGTTGTTAGCCCGAAAATTTGCACGTCGGATATGTAGTGCAGTTGAATTGAATTGAATTAAATTGACGAGGCAGATTTTTTCCCGCAGTAGGTTGCCATTTCTTTCTGCAGTAGACCAGTTGCCATCCAAGGCTATAGAACCCGGTCTGTGCTGCTATTTCCCCATAGCTGGGGGGGGGAGAGAAGAGGATTCATACCTTTCCCAAGAGTATTAGCACGTAAGTGAATGTAATTGATTCAACTGGAATTCGAACTCTGCTCCTGATTCCCCAATCTAAGCCACTATCCATTACACCACCATGCCTCCATATATATATATATATATAATCAAATATGTGGTGCAGTTCAATTTATATTACAATGAATCATTAAAAGAAAAAGTAAATTAGTGAAGTTAATGATATAAAATGGCGAAATCCCTTTGCTAACAAAATTGTAAAAGATGCATTAACCTACTAATCACTCAATGAATGTTATGATCCTTGTTTTTTAAAATTATAAGCTGTATAAGGTAATTGTGACACGCACACACACATAAAAACACACACACACACACACACAGACACACACACACACATATATATATATATATATATATATATATATAGAGAGAGAGAGAGAGAGAGAGAGAGAAAGATAAATAGATATGCGTATCAAAAATTCTTTTACAGACATTGTGGGCGGGTTTCTCACACTAAACTAAATGTCCATATAAACATATGTCCTCAAATCCTTCGTTTTCGAGTTATTAAGTTTAAAGAAAGTTTACGGCAGATGGCGCTGAGCTGACATGTGGACAAGGTTACATTTGTTATTCGTGTAAAATGTGGCTAGTCTGTCTTCGATGTTTAACGTGCGTAGTAGTGAGTTAACTGAAAAGTGTTTCGTTTAACGATGGCGGGAAATTAATGTCGTGAGAAGGCAGATATGATTATTCTTACATAAGCCTGCGCAAATGGTAATGGACGCGAGGTTGCACGACTGCATCAGATTGCGTTTCCAAACAGAAGGCAGCCGAGTCACCCAACCTTTGCTGCTGTTTATTGTCGCGTTTCTGAAACTGGATCCGTGGCACCACAAACTATGGTAATTAGTATTTTGGGATTATATCTTGGATTGTACATTTAACAGCGTCTACCGTAAACTTTTAACATAATAACGCATAAAGGAAGGATTTGCGGACATGTGTTTATAAGGGATTTTGTCCTTGTTTTGGTGTAAGGAACCCCTCCCCAAAGTTTGTAAAAGTATTTTTTGGTACACTCTGTATATATATATATATATATATATATATATATATATATATATATATATATATACACACACACACACACACACATATATATATATATATATATATATTATTTATTTAAAACTATGATTCCATCACGCTACATAAGAGTTCTCATATTTCAAAACAAGAAACCGAAAACTTCAGTATAATTATTTGATCTTCAATTGATTCCAAAAAATTTCTGCTTGAAGATGGAACAGAGCTTAGTAAATTTTAATTCAATTTAATTCAAATAATTATATTGAAGTTTTCGGCTCTTGTTTTGAAACATGAAAACTCTTATATATATATATATATACACACACAAACAAATTTGATTCAAAGGAATCGACAGAATCTATGTGTTTAATTTTTTTTATGGTACTTTTCCAGTTTTCGGAAGTGTTGATCATTGTGCTCGAAGTTGCGGATAAACCGTCCGAAGTTCATATTTTGTTAATTTTGTTCAAGTACTTTAAACTCTCGCAGTCATTATCAAGAACTGGTGTGTGTTAGAATTCCTTTGTTTAACCCCTGGCATTCTTTGGGAAGCTGGACGTTTGAAATTGCCTAGCGTGACGTCATATATAACGACTAATGGAAATGAGTCCGCGCAAAATCAATGCGATTTTTTTATTAATTTAATTTTTAATTTTAGCTTTGGTTTGGTTTGGTTTGTTTTACGGCATATCAACCTCAATGGGTTATTTAATGCTGATAAGATTTTTATTGATGCTAATATAGTTTTTTTTCAAAAATGCATTGCTGGTAATATATATATTTTAAAATGTATTGCTGGTAATATTTTTTTCAAAAATATATTGCTGGTAATAATTTTTTTTCAAAAATGTATTGCTGGTAATAATTTTTCTTAAAAAATTTATTGCTGGTAATATTTTTTTACAGAGTATTTCTGGTATTAAAACCTATTTTTACACTTTCATAGTGTTTTGGTCCCAGTTTGAGGGTTAACTATTTATTCATAGCAGGAACCCTAACAGGTGCTACCACCCCGGTTCAGGGTGGACCTTTGGATACCAGCAATTACGAGGTGCTTTCATGCCCCACAAAACCTCCTGATCAGAGGACTTGCAGTTGGACGTAGTTTATTATCATACCCAGGACGCGGATGTAGTTTATCGTCTTACTCAGGACGCGGATGTAGTTTATCGTCTTAACCTTGACGCGGATGTAGTTTATAGTTATACCCAGGACAGAATTTTAGTTTTATTTTATTTTCTATTATTATAATACTGATAAAACATGTGCACACAATAATTATATCATATGTACTTCAAGATAACTTCTCCTGTGCTGAATGATACTTTATTTAATGTGAGCTGCTTATTTTGTTTAATCATATCTTCTAGAGGTTTCGAGTCTTTTTTTGCATTGGGTGCTATAGAGTATTTTGGCTTTATTTACTGGTATTTATCTTATGTTGATAGTTGTAATTTGGCCGTTCATGTGTTCACGGATTGTGACAGGTCAATCTACAAGAAAGTGTGGTGTACGTGTGTCCAATATAAGTATTTAATGTTGTTTTTGATCATTAGTGTTGGAGAAGCAATCTCTCAGTGAGTTGGGCATGAGAATTCATGAACAATATTATTTTTACATGGTGTGGGTGAATTTATAAGGCCCAGTGTTGTTGATAATAATTAAGTTAGATGATTTAAACTTATTGTAGAAGATAATATATATATA